TGGCTCTGATACCATGTTGAAGTTCGGCCTGCCCTAGAAGTCTGTTTTGTTTGTTAGCTGAAAAGTAAAGTAAACAGCAAGAAGGAAGAGAGGAAAGAAGAAGGAAGAAAGAGGAAGAAGAAGAGAAAAGGTCTGGTTCGAATTAGGAAAAAGTCAACCCTAGTTTCGGCTAGACCTATTATTATATTATTAATATAATTGGAAAAGACATAAGTGCTCTTATTTAAGTAAGAGGCACTCGAACTAACATAATAGTACACATCAGCCTTCTCAACAGGTACAAAGACCGAAGTACCCCTTCACTAACAGTATGCTTATGTCATGCCTTTATATATAGTTTCTGAAGCTAAATGTCATTTCTCAAGACATGTGTCTTGCCAAATTTAATTTTCTAACATCTGTTGATTTTTTATGGTATAATTTCTTATAGAAGGTGAGCCAATGGTTTTGCTAACAGATAAGCTAAATAAGGGTCAACTAGGGGACAATTTTTTTGGCCAGCAGTTGTAATGATGGATTCCTATGTGGGGTTAGCACTCCTTAAATGGGGTGCTTGTCTTGTGCTTACTTTATAAAGATTAAATGAAAGTTACTGTTTCCAATAAAAAAGTGTTTTTTGATTTGTGTTTATAAAGATTTTTAAGAAGTATTTTTCTTGACAAGTGTTATAGTATATTAAAACATACCATATGTTTTCTTTAAAGAAATTAATGTTATATAGTACATCTAGAAGTATCCATGCAGTATCCGGGTAAGTATTTTGATTCTCTTCCAAGAGTTTGTGGAGTTCTTTTTTCTTTTCGGGGTAAGCTTTGTTCTGCTGCTACTTTAAAATTGTTAGCAAAATTTGTTTGGATTTCTTTTTTGTTAAACCAATTTTCTCTCTTTCATTGTACATTTTCTGTGCCTGTTTTGGCTTTCAGTTATACTGTTATATCTTTCTGAAACAAACTGTTTCATCTGTTTTAGGCTGTATTCAATGAGCTCTGCAAAATGTTGGATCCAGGGAAACCTTCATTTACCCCGAAGAAAGGGAAAACAAGTGTTATAATGTTTGTCGGTTTACAAGGTATGTTAATTTTGAAGTGTAGTTTACCATCAATTGATAAGAGATGCATAAATGCGAGAAACATATATTCACACACATGCCTTAATAAGGAAAGGATATTTTTATTAAAAAAAGAAAATGACTTCTGCAGAGGTCTAACTCAGCCAAACAAAATCTAAAACACTAGCTGAAAAAGCATATCTACAACCAAAATAACCTTATACTGCTATATATGATAGATATCAAGAATGGTACAAAGGTCTGAACAAAAAGAAGCTATAGGAGTTTCTTTGAACTTGGAATGAACCATCAACATTGATCCAGTGTGAGCAGTCAACCCTCAACCACAATTCTACTAAGCTTCTGAATTTATCTTCAACTACTCTCCTGTTTCTTTCTTTCCAAATTCCCCAACAGATTGCAAAAGGAACTGCATATCAATAGATCCCTAATTTTTTATTTCCATTGATCCTGGGCCACTTAGAGAAGATTTTGTTTTGTTTTTTTTTGGTATAAATAACATATTCATTTCATTTTCAAAAAGAGATCTCCTAACTACCCCACAAAAGGGCAGCAGGCCAAAGAAGGGAAGATCTTTCTTTTTTTGGTCAATACCACTTAGAGAAGATTTTTCTAGAATTTGTTGGGTCATGCCTTAGCTTTCTCCGCCAGGCCTGCATAGTACTAGTATCTTCAGATGAAGCCTGCCACACTTCATTGGTTGAACAGATGCACCAAAGTCTCCATTTTTACAGCACATACAACACTGATTTGCCAAATAAAATCCTCTTCTTTTCAAATGACCTGTTGTAAGAATGCCATCCAAAGCAAGTAGCCATGCAAAAGCTTCTACCCTTGGAGGAATTGGATTACCCACACCCCTCTAGCTTCTTTAAGTTATCAGTGCTTTTAATTAGAATCATAAAAGGATTTTACTGTAAACTTCCCATCTTTCATCCTGCTGATTTGGTGTCATTTCCACTTCTTCCAATCTCTTGGACAGATCCATGTTTTCTCAGTTTCTCTCTTTTTTTTTGATGGATAATCAATAATTTTATTATTAATAATAAAGGTAAGCAGACAAATTCTTACAAAGCTGATCTCTCAGGAGGCATGAGTTGCTGCCTCAAAAACAAAGTAAATTACAAATGAGCCCAGAATAAATGGTCCCTGTTCACCCCTTGCTTAGCTAGTAGGTCAGCCATCCCGTTTGCTGACCTCCTCTCCCACTGAACTCTAACTGTAATATTAGAGGTAAGCCATTTGAATCTTTTCATTTCTCCCCTAAAAGACCATGCTACTGTCTCTGGTTCTTTCAACCACCCAGTTACCACTCTAGAGTCACCTTCAATGATCAACCTCCTAAAGTTCAGTTCTTTAGCAATCTGTGCTCCCCACAGAGCAGCTTGCACCTCTGCACTAACTGCATCCCCCACATCAATTGAGCCCAAAAATAAGGCCACAATCTGTCCCTCTTCATTCCTAAAGACACCACTGATGCCAGAGGGTCCAAGATTGCCAATGCTGCTACCATCAAAATTGAACTTTATGTCTTTATGAAACCTTCTTCTGGTGGCTTGCAATCTACAACAGGTTTATCCTTAACCGAAGAAGAATTTGCAACAGATACCCATTTTCTCCGTATGTCATCAAAGGAGTAAAGTGAGAATAAATCTAAAGATTTGGCCCAGCTTATAGCCCTTATTAGCAGACATTCCCAAACAGGATCTACATCCCTTTCTTTATCATTAAAAAATCTGTTATTTCTTTCCTCCAAACTGTCCATACTAGAGCGGCCCTAACACATCTCCATAAAATTCTACCTCTTCTCTTAGGCCACCTAAAAGTTGTAGGGTCAAAAAGGCCCCCTCCCCCCAGTTTGTAGAGGCATCACCACCTACCCCCAAAACAATCCAAAAAATTTTCCCCAAAGATTTACAACAAATGGGCAAGAAATTAAAAGATGATAATAGCTCTCTCCATTTGCTTTGCAAAGGAAACACCGGCTTGGGGAGATGCAGAGGTTAGGTCTTTTCTTTTGCAAGGTATCCAATGTGTTTAATTTCCAAAGAGAGGCTTCCCAACAGAGGGCTCCGACTTTAGGGGGGAATGGGTTTAGACCAAACTTCTTTCCAAGAAATAAGTTGAGGGTTAGGGACTGAGCACAATTGAGAGAAAAAAAGAGGTGCAAGAAAAAAGACCAGAGGGTTGGGAGTCCAGATTCTAACATCAGGTTTAGAAGGGTCCAAGCAAACATTGTCTAGAGTCTTGATCAACGAAGCAGCTTGATCAATTTTAGAATCTCTTAGATCTCTTCTGAAACCCAAATTCCAACTAAATCCAGAGGATTGGGAGAAAGAAACAAAAATGTGAATTGGTTCACTTTTAAAAAGGGAGAGGAAAAACAAAGATGGATAGAGATCCTTAAGAGTGGAATTGCCAATCCAGGTGTCTTCCCAAAAGAGAATCTTATCACCAGTACACAGTACACACATCATACCGGATAAGGCTGAGGAGTTGGGGAAGAATACTATGAATAGCCTTCCACGGAAAGTTTAGAGTAGCCCGCCGAGACACTCCAGCATCCCAACCATTTTCTGCATAACCATGAATACTTCCTACCACCTTATGCCAAAGCCTATCTCTCTCTAATGGCCATCTCCAAAGCTATATGCCCAATAAAGCTTCACTCTTCTTCCCTCTATTGCCTAACCCTAAACCCCCTTTCTCCTTACTTCTACAAACTAGACCCCATCTCACCAAATGATCTTTCCTTCCTTCACCAGGCTCCCACTGGAAGGTTAGCTAAAGTAGATTTAATCAGAGTGATACAACCCCCTAGAGACACATAATTCATCTTCCAAGCTGACAATTTCTTAGCACATCTTTCAAGAATTGGACTCCAAAAGCTTCCTTCCCGCGGGTTGGCTCCTAAGGGCATACCTAGTTATTTCAAAGGCCAACTAGTGGTAGGACAACCTAAGGCTTCTGCTACCCCAGTCATCTCCTCCTCTACCAAGTTTAGTCCGCTACACATCTCTTTTCAAAGTTAATCTTCAACTTAGAGACAAATTCAAACAGTTTGATCACTAGCTTCAAATTACTTGCCCTTTGAGGATCAGCACTTTCACAAAATATAATTGTATCATCAGCAAGCTGTAAGTGTGTGAACTGTGCTCTCTCTCCTTATTGAAAATACAGCTCTCCTTATCTCCTCCAAGTCGAAATCCCTTTCCACACTCTTGGCAACTCCAGACTCAATCTTGGCCAATCCAGTCCTTCCAGAGTAGCACCCACATCCTCTTGTCTTTTAAAAACCGATTTGAAATGAGCCACAAAACAGTTAACAATTTCTTATTGATCAACCAAAGTTTCTCCGTTTACTTACGAATACTTATGAAACTGTTTTCCTCAGTTTCTCTTATGAAGAGGTCTCCTTAAAGTTTGGTACTAGATCACCTTACCATTTCTAAGTTCAAACCATCCCATTACTGTTATGTTCTTAACCTCTAAAAGATAAAGCCTCGCATAACTTCCTCACTCCAAACTTGTCCAAAAAAAAACCCTTAAAAAAGAAATTCTCCACCCTGCATCATTCATCTTCTCAAAATCTTACTTTACACCCTTTTTTCGATAAGAAAAGAAGATTTTGTTAAAAATATGAAGAAAGCTTAGTACAATAGCTTGGGATATTCCATCAACCCAAGATGCAAAAGATTCACACTAAAGCTCAAAACAGATAATGTCTATTAATCCCTTGTTTTGCAAATGAATCCACCATACCATTTGCAGTTCTTCTAACCCAAATATAGAAGGTGTTTAACTCCTATGAGAGACATTATATTTCCCTGAAAACATGCCTGTATATCCAAGGGACTTGGCAAATGCCTTTTGCCCAAGTGATGATCTGTTTTGGCTCCCCCTTTACTTCCAAGAAGAGGGAGACAAATTGCTTTGCTAATCTTAGGCCTTGTAATGAGGTCATCAATTCAGCTTTCAAAGAACCTCCCACTCCAATGGGTCCCAAGTACATAGCAACTACCCTTCTTGAGAAATCTCTGAATACACCCCCTATACCTGCCTGGCCCTGGATTGCCCATAGGACTCCCATCAAAATTCAACTTAATGTATTGCTTGGTATAGGTTTCTATTCCATAACAAACCTGCCTTTTTTCTTAGAAGAATGTGCCACTTCACTCACATTCTTATTTATCATTACCAAGAAATCTTGAAAAATTTCCAATGTCTTTAACCAATGTGCCACTTAGATCTTTATAGTGTCTATTAATACCTCTTTGGATCTACTAATTTCATTAAGGATTCTTCCATTTCCTTATTCCCGTTTAGTCCACATCACTGCTGCCCCAACTGCTTTCCACATAGCTCTCCCTCTTACTATACACTCTTCCCCCACTTTAAATCTAGTGTTCTGACAAACTCTTGGTGGAACTTCACTATCTCTATGACTTCACTCTATAAGAAGCTGATACCTCTCTAGTGTCCCACATTCCCACTCAAATTGCATTGTCCCGTACTTATTTAGGAAAGCCCTCCTTCAAAGTTCCCTCCTTTCCCTAAAAAACTTCAATATTAGTTTTTTTTTTGATGAATAATAGTAAGTTTATTGATTCAGAAGCAAATTAGAGTGAGTTCATACATCATCCCAGTGAGAGGCGCGAGCTGCAGCCCCTCCTTGCAACTTACAAGTAAACTAGGAAAGAAAAACAAGAAT